TGTATATTCGAAGGATTTCCGCTAATGAAATAATTAAAATTACAAAGCTCTCCTGCAGTATCCCGCTTTGCGCCCTCGCATATTCTTTTTCTCCCTTGATCTTTTTTTTTTTTCCCCCCCCTCTCTTGTTTCGTTCACGGAGGAATAAGATTCAGGCTCTTGGTGTATTCAGTTGCTTAAGAAATTACGGGAGCATTGTCGTTGTCATTTTCTACGAAACCAGGGACGAATTAATTGGACTCAATAGAATTCAATCGCCGACCTGGCTACAGTTTAGTCTGAGGTCTCATTAAAATGAGTTGGTCGATATCATTACATTTTATATTGGTTAGACTGTCTAAACCAATTTTCTCCAATGCCTTCATCTGTGTAACAATTTTACAGCAGAAAAATACTCGTTATAATAAATGTTTTATGGGGAAATTTCCTGTTGGTCGTTGTTTGTTTTACTGCATATTATTCCGTAAGCTGTATTACTTTAAACGTCGAAAAGTCGTAACGTAAAAGAAAACTCCGGAGGGTGCAAAGCACCCTGAGACACAGGGCTCAGGACATATCCGGTGAATTTTCATCTTGGTAAATGTTATTCGGTGATATGTTTATAGTGAGGGCGTACACAGTGGCAGTGAAATGAGCCACAAAAGAGTCGCGTGATCTCCTCGCGTTAAAGTATCGACTTCGGTCCAAGTGACCAACCATTGTAACTCGTTTATTTAGTAAAAAGGGGGCTGGACACTGGGTTGGTGGTGGTGAACACGGGTCGATAGCGTCGGTATCCAACGCATCTCGTTAAAACTTTACGAGTTTCAAGCCCTCTGGCTGTCCTCAGTTCCTTTCTCCTTCTATCTCTTTCCCTCTATTTGGTTATCGTTGCCTCTCTATTGTCCGCTCATTTCTCGATTTATTAATTTTTTTTTTACTTTTCTCCTGTGATGCTGTTGGCTCTTTTGTGGCATTTGCCGACGCTTTGCTCTACCGCTGGCAGAGCTCACGCGCGCCCCGACAATCAGCTCAACACCCGTGGGCCATTACCCCAATGTCGTCACGCCCCTTGTTCACCTTGTGAGAAATTTTGTTCTTTTCATCTCACGCTAAAATTCAGCCTCAATCATTAGTCCGTCAGCAAGTGTAACATTTTACCTATACAACAACACCAAAGTAACTTGCCCTGGGGCCACGCCTCACTCATTTCTACCATATTCTCCGATAACTCCCCAGATTTTTATGGCAAATTCCATGAAATTTTCCACACACTCGAATATTTTTTAGCAACTTTCATCCGTCCGGAAAACTGCCACTCATACAAAAAAATAGTTGGCCCCCTGCTGGCTGATGTGTCCACCCCCACAATAAACTCAGAGAATAAAGGACTGGTCTGTCTGAACGTATAAAAGGAGGAAACAACCACGGAAAATGCCCTCAGGGAATGTCGTGCAAATTTGGTAAGAAATTTTAATTTCACGGATATTTGTAGCAAACAGAAATATTACTTTTACATGTGCTCTATTCGCCCATTTTATCAAAAGACAAGTTGAAATGATGTAATAAATTTTATTTGGCTAGAGTAGAAGAAGCTCGATAAAATATGGCAGGAAGGGCCCAGGGGAATTGTCAAGTAACAAATACAGTGCAAGTTGGCTGTGGCTTTTTGTAGCTGAACTGTAGTGTAACCTAGACGTTTCAGTAATATGAGAAAGAGTCACCTGGTACTCGAAAATCCGCAGGATGTCGGGTGTAGTCTCAAGTGGTGGAACGCACTGAAACCCTTCAATAAAGCGTTTCAAGCGGAGAATAGGTATATATTTCGGTGTAGACATGAAGCTCGTCGCCTCCTTCCTTACTCAAGAGCACTCCTTTGTCCCTCTCTCTCTCTGGTGTTGGATAATCGAGTAGTTCCGGCTGCTTCGATTATTCATCAGAATTCCAACTCTGATTCAGCGTTATCAGCCAAATGATATGTGCGCCTCGATCAAAATATATGTGCCTACATAGCATCTCAAATTATCCGAGTAATGTCTGAAATTCTACAAGCAGCTTTCGGTCTTTTATTACTGCAGCTGTCGATGTGCCGCTCGACAATATATTACCGCCTAATTTCCTCATCTTTCATATTAAATTTTTAATAGCCACATAATTGTGGTCCACATGAACAATCATCTGTATACGATTGACTCATCTATGGCTCCAAGGCGGGAACGTGAAACGACAATGAATGGGCTAATCAACTGGCGTCAATCCATGGCTCAATCCATGGCTCCATCCATGGCTCAGGAGGTGGAGTCCAACCCTACCTTTACGTCATCCACTAATTAATACAGCACTATGGGTTGGCCATAACCAATGCCTCTGGATGATGCTGTCTGGCGGGGAGTATATTACAAATTTCTTCGTTGAATACAAACGGTGTTTTACGCTTTCTTTATGGCACGATGAAAGTGGAGAAAAAAAAAAAATAGATGAATACCCGGTTTGTCGGTGCTCAACGGTTACTTTAACGCCGCGTACGAGACCATCACCCAGTGCAATGTTCATCAAGCAATAATGGCACGTGCTCATTCCAATAATACGGGCGACGGCTTTAATACCAAGAGAATAGTGAAGTTGAGTTGAATAGGTTTCTGTACTCTTGAGAGAAACCACCGAAATATTCTCCTCTCGCTCCCACCGCACTCTACAGCCCCCATCGTGTGGCAACATGAAAGTTCAATCAAGTGTCAAATTTCATTTGATCGAGCGAACAAATCCAATTCACACTAATTCCGATTCAGTGTGGCCAAACTCCATTTGCCAGTGGTATTCGCAATAAGAGAAAATAGCTCTCATGGAAAGCATGATGCTCGAGCTTTTTGATGTTCAAGTGTCGAGTCTCTCTTAATTAGGGGCTAAAAAAGAAATTGAAGAAGAATTTGGCAATTACGCATTGCATTGATATAGAATAGCAGTGGTCAGTGGGTACATGCTCATGCACATGTAGGTGCACGAATCAGTGTGAGCTTAACACGCTTTTCGTAGCGTGCAGTGCAGCTGCGAATTTGTCGGATACAAAGGCGCATCGTCCATGAGCCTGGCTATGTGCAACGGGTTTCCTCACTCAAGTTTAATATAACCATATACGTAAAACCTCCGGAAACCAACCATTCCCACTATTCTCTGATTCCGCTCCACCCCATGCTCGCATTCGAAATATGCAATTAGTCGTGTGCCTGCTTTTTACCCACAATTTATCGGTTAACTGCTAATTAATGATCCTTCTCAATTGATGACCGCTGTTTTATCCAGTGCATCTCGACCTTCTCTAATACATTAACATTTTTCAATTTGATTATTTAACTATATGTTCAGTGAATTCCGAATTAATTGGAAATTCACAGCACATTCCCTGGAATTCGACGGATTTTCATTTTTTTTTCAAGGAATAATTAGACTCTAATTGACTTTATTCACTCAATCAATGATCGCTGTTTTATTGAATTTCCCATTACTCCGTGAACTATTTTCAAATCTCATAACGTTATCTACTGTTTAATGTCACTCCAACAAATAGTAATCATTTAATTTTCCGACGCTGATAATTATCACTAATGAACTTTTGCGACAAATTGAAATTTCATGAATAGTAATATAAAAAATAATAATATAAAAAATTTGATAATCAAAATGTTAAATTCCCGTCGAATGGTGTGTGGGTGTAAAATTCTTTGAGAGTCAATACACTACACACTCATTAAACGTCAGGGTGAATTTTAGTTAAAATTTTTAACCGTGTGTCGAATGTCAGTGGAGTTAATCCCGATAAGTAAATTATTCCACATGAAAAATTCGGGATGATACAGGGTATGAAAAAAAATTTCTTGATGTGGAGCTCTCGTCTGAGATTTATTAATCGGAGTGTATGAGAAGGTGCGCATGTTCTCGGCCTGAAGCTGCGAAGCCAGGATATATAGAGCTGAACGACATGCCCGAGGGAGACCACACCACACCGGGGTTGATACCCGTTAATGAAAATATACGTGGCACGCTCCCTTCTGTATACAACGCTTGATTCATCATATTCCTTGTAAATATTGTTTTCACGTGTGTCTCTCTCTCTCTCTCTTCATTCCCCGTCCCTTTGCTTCCAAGCCACGCCCTCCATTCCACCTATTCCCCTATTTCCCTTTCACACACAGAACCTTACTTATCCGAATAAAGTCATACACCAGTTAATCCTCTTCTCTCTCTTTCCATTCAGGATCAGTCAACATCAACTAGTACGAGCCAGCATTAATTTCACACTGCTGAAAAAAAAAATTGGCTGAATTCAGTCGGAAAAAAAAAATTCATTTGATTTAAGTCCTGTGAAATTCCACTCTTCGAATTTTTGCAAATGAAAATTTATTCCTTTCAGGATTAAGATCGATGAGATATTTCATTTTTCAATTTAAGCACTCTCCAATTATCCACTGCAATTATTTTTATCTCATGAAAATCCCTCGAAAATGCATTGTAAAAGTGACTAATTAGTAAATGAAAAGCCCTCCCTGAATATCTGCGTGTAAAATTTAAATCATTATACTTGATCAGTATTTTTATCCACTGACAATGATTACTCTTGACGTGGCGTTGAAATTTAATGACGATATTCTGAATTGACGATTCGCCAAATGAGCGCAAAAATATTCATCACCGCGACAATTAATAAATGGGTAAATTGAAGAATAAAAAATAGTGGCGGGGGTCGAAATAATCATTGGGGAAGTAAATTATATTGAATTTAACAGTGCGCTCATCAACGTTAATTCTGAACATAAAAGATAGTGATGAGAAGGTCGTCGTAGTGGTCGACACTGGATAATGCATGGGGGTTTGGCGGATTGGGGGTTGAGAGAGGAGGGGTTAAGGGAGGGGTGGTTGACGGGCGTCGCGACGCCGTTCGGGACGATAGAGAACTATACTTGGAGGCGCTACACCGTGCCAGTGCCAGTATCGAACACGCGACCGTGCCGAGAGTACGTGTATCTTAATGCGCACTATTTGCTCTATCGTTATCACGCACGCTGCATACTTCTCATTTTTTATCCCCCCCTCCCGGCCCACTAATATTTTAATTTTTTTTTTTTTCATTCACCATCACTTAATCGCTGAATTCCATTAATTAATATTCGATTAACATCGCCCAATGTTATCAATTGAACAAATTCAATAATTTATTCACTACTGACTTGTGAAATTTCGCATGGATTTTCATGTGTGTGACAACGAGGATTTTAATGATAACTCTGGTGAACTCAAGTGATTATTAGAGTAATTGAGTAAATGGACAGTTTAATTGATGTGAGGGAGGAGTGATTAATTTAGGATTTGTCGTTCTGTTACTAACTGGGGGAAATTAAGTTGAAAATATAACGTGAATGCTTCATCGGGTACGTAAAGGCTATGTTATAGTTTGGCTTGACTAAACCAATCGCGTGTGACCCTCGGTGGCGCGCTACGAGATTTTTCATCACGCCAGCACCACAACCCCCTCTTACACACCCCTATGTACTCTTGGCCCGGGGACGGATGGTCCAATTTTCTACGTGACGTTGTTGCCACCGCGTCAAATAACTTACTCGAAAAATCCTCACCGAGACAACTACCAGATATTTATTCTCTCGCTCCACCAATAACAACACTACAATACATTTTTATTTCATATATTTGCCTCTACTATTTTTATATTTTATAAGCATTATTCGGAAGTATGTTAAGACTCACGATACGTTCTTGACGTGAAATACCATGGAGAATTCTTTGAATCTGAAAACAAAATAAAAAATCTACAGAATTTGTCCACCAGGAAAAAGTGTCAGGGACATTTTTTGTGTATCCCCCCAGCAATTTTATTTTGCATTATGCAAAACTTATTATTCTCATAATTGAGGGGATACAATTATCCATTTATTTCACGGCTCGTATCATTTTTCGTTGCTTTCACCATGGAAATTTATATTATCGTTGACTTTATCCACAAAAAATAAAAAAAACGATACCCCGAAATTCAATATCGCGTTTTCACAGTAGAACGGAAAATATATATTTCCGAAATCGACATTAAGGTCGTGGTTTGAGTGGGAGGAAAAAAACAATTAATCACCAGCAGTTTTATTTAATTATGTTACGATGGGGTGTGTCACAAAGTTTTGGGAAAAAACTTGCGCTCATTCCACGATGACGGGGGAAAAAAATGGAGTTCCACAGAATGATGGGGCGAAAAATGCTGAGAATGATGGTAGTTCCTAGTTAATGGACATATATACTGAAGTTTTTCAATCGCTGGGCCATGTGCAAAATCGTCTAGCTAGCCAATTTAACTTGGCCATTGAATATGCTCATTCTCTCTTTGGTTTTTCATGGGAGAGAAATCCCTCGCCAAATGAACATTCTCAGCTTTTTTCCCAGCGAATCGGACTTTTCATCTCTCCATTTGGAATTGTTACTATATTATAACCAGCTATATGATGGTATATATGTGTTCCGACATGGAGCGTAGGTATTGACAAACCCGTTCCACATACCGTAAATTTGTCAATCATGAAGGGCGCAGAAAGAGAGCAACGGAAAAGATTCACCTTTTCACTGGGAAATAAATATAACTCGAGCGAATTTCGCCTACCGATGTAACTGAAAATGGCAGGAATGAAGTATTGGTGAATAGCGTATTGAAATCCCAGGCTTAATTTGAAAAATGTATCAAAATTTCAACAATTTATCCTTTGGGTTAATAATGTGATTTTATGGCGTGTGATATTGCATGCTTGTGGCATTATCATTGAAAAGGAATAGAGAAGGGTTTTTGCTCGTTTAGTCGAGGTTTCCTGGTTTCTTTCCTTTCCTCTTTACTTTTCGTTTTTCCAACAAGAATCGTTAAGGGTCCATTCACGTTGAATCTCTATGAGAAACGAAGACTGAAGAGGACACGAGAACGCAAGAAAACGTGATGTCAGTTTTGGTCCTTTTGGTGAGGCACGTGCCTCACCAAAAGTTTTCTGCGTTTTCGCTCTCGAGTGGACCTGTATATGTATCTGTCGAGCCATATACATATATGTACCTCGTATAAATGAGGGGACACGGGGTTGCTTGGAGCGGTGGAGAAGAATCTCAAAAGCCAACACACCAGGATTCAAAACTTTTCATTGGAGATAGGGAATAGCTATATGTAGTTGTTCAGCCAAGTAGCGTTTACCTTTCAGCTACTTTTTACCATTTTCATTCTTATTTTCATTTCTCTTCTGTTTGTCCTATCAAAGTCGTATGTGAGTCTTAGTGATTTCGGGACTGCACATGCACCTGGGCTTTTAACTCTATTTGAACTTGCCATACCACCGTTAAGATACAACCAGATTGTTTCTTTTATTCCTTTTATTCCTTCAAAGTGAATAAACTCCTGCAATTTATATTTGAAAAATTTCCTTTCAAATATGATTTGCACCAATTCCCTGTCTTTAAACATTTCAATCAATCATCTAGGCATGAGTTCCACTAGCCTTTAACGTCTCACAATATTATCAGCAAATACATCGTGTAATGGGTAAAAAACAAATAAACAAACGTGCGGAAGAGGATAAAAAGTGGTGTGTAAACTGAAAGTTGTGTTACCGAAGGGGAGCCCTACGGAAGCGTTTCCTATCACCGCCTCGAGTGACCACAAGGAACGATTGAAATTCGGAGTCGCTCTCAAGAGCAGATAAGGACTCGTGAGTGTCAAACCGACGAGTTGTAACGACCCGAGTAACGACAAGGTGAACAAAAAGTATAAAAATCAAGTTAAAGTGCGGTGAAATCGTATTAACAAGGAGAAATGAGGTATCATCCGGTGGCAGTGACAATTCTCATCATTTTATTTGGCAGTGTACGAGCGCAAGGTCAGTTTTTATCATTTTTTATAAAACACATTGCTACGACCAATAAATATTATAATAAATGCTATTCAATTATTCTTACATAAATATGGTATTAATCCGTTTAAATGTCATGGCTCTTGTTTGCTCATGGTTTGTCGGAGGCGGAGCAGCTTGTCTAGTCTCTCGTGACATATTTTATTGTTGTAATGCATAGCAGCACTCAATATTCAATTATGTACCGCACATTCACCGGTATATTATCTCAAGCGTACATGCGTGCATTAGGGATGACACTGCACCAACTGTCCCACCGACACTCAAACGTGTTTAACCGATGAGACGATTCCGTCCTTTAAGTGGCAACATCATCTTCATAATCTGACAATTATTCACGTCACGTATTCATCAGGAACACGGAGTGCTGACTTGTTCTTCATAATTATTTCCCTGTCTGAGTAATGAATCAGTGACATATAAAAGTCAATATTAGTATAATAGTATAATTTTGCAAAGGTGATGCTCTTTCTTTTTTTTTATATCATTGATTTATCGAGAGATATTTAGATTGAACAAGTGTTGAAAATTTTTTATACTTTTCAATTCAAAATATCTCGATAGAATAATAGTCAAGCGTTTCATCTAGCTTTTTTTTTTCTCCTTGATTGATTTGGTTGGTTTATCAGGCGAAATGAACACTGGCGCGTTAATCTAGCTATAAAATGAAAACGAACGTTCTTCTGAGACTTGGCAAAATAAAATTTGATATATTTTTGGGTGTTACTCACAGAGACGAAGGTACCAAGCTTTATACATTGCATGCCCGTAAGGCCGTCGACTGATGGAATGAAATAAATGCAAGTGATGTAAAAAAAAAAGCCCCGGCGAAAAAGTCTTACTAAAAGTAAAATGCGATTGACAAGTGGAAAGAAGCTTTTCCCTGCTTGCAGTATTCAACTGGGTATGTAACCTCTTTTTAAACGCTCAACGTCCGCGCTCGATCGTACCGAGTTCTTTTTGGTACAATATAACCACTCGAGTTCACACTTGTGGCACGCCCGATTTATGCTGTTCATTCTAACAATCGAAATTCTAACAATTGAGAATACGAGGGACGAGGGGGTGATTTAAATGTTGCCATACTATTAAATCTCACGGTTATTTTATACAACTGGACTATTATAATACGACTATTGTGTTTCAAGTGTATTTGAGAATTTTCGATGGAGAACAAATATGAGAATTATTTTCCGGTGTTTGGAATCGATGGGCAATTGTATAAAAACAAAGGGGACTTTTTTCTTTCTCAATTGGTTTTTCTCGAGGATGATTTTACCTCGGGAGGCTGGTGTTGTCCCTCCACTCTGCTTATTTTACCACTAGTTTGAGGATAACCACCATCTTTTTCGATGTAGATAACGCTTCTGATGTATAACGCTCGACAACTTTTCGTTTCAGCATTGCAAATTGTTTAGCAAGAGTTCTCCACGGTGGCCATCAGCTCACTCTCAATTTACTCCTTTTTCTCCACAAAATAGAAGCTCATCCTCTCGATGTTACGCGAATTTTTCTTCATTTCTCGGTGAAATTTGCATGTCACCTAGTCCCTCAGGGATGCAAGTAAATTTCATGTGCCATCAGATGACATTTTAAATGAAAAAATAAATTGATATCCGGGCATTAACAATGTCATGTGGTATCTCTAGTTGGATGTGCTATATAGTGTATTGAACACCGGTTAATGAAAAAATTCTTGATGATGCCAAGTGTAGACAGATACCATCAGGTGCCTCGATTTCTGAAGTGGTATCATTGAAAAATTTCGCATTTTTTTTCTCATCCATCGAGTTGCGGAGATGAGCACGCTTTTCTCCCCATCAGCGCTCATCCGAAGTATTCGACTAATTAAATTCCTCGCGATTCTCGACTTGCCACGTAGAGGAGAAGAAGAAGGACAGGAGGGGCTGAGAGGAGAAGAGCAGTTGATCGTAGACCGTACCAATCCTAGCCATCTTCCGGTGTAATCTCATTGTTCTTTTTTTTTTTTTTTTGGGAACGAGCACATATGTATCGTGGCCACTTTCGACGAGAAATCGACGTGAAACTTGTCTCATTCGTCCTCGTGACGTCCATTTCCGTCCGGACGAAACAGCCAGCCACTACATATAGTTCCTGGGCCATAAATTTACGAGTTGGCCTCGCCGCGACTCTTCCATGGTGCACCAACGACGAATATCCCGTTCAACTTTTCTCGTCCTTTGTCCTGCAGACATTCACCCGCTTGTAACTAATGGAAATGTTTCAACAATTTAATTCTTTTTCGTTGTTACTATTCCATAATTTGTTGGCAACTGTGATTGATTCGACTCGAAAAGTTAACACCGAATTTCACCACAAATTTCAACAAAAAATTTATACGATGCGGTTGTTTATTGGTGAAGTGTACTTTTATATCATTTTCATTAATAAAACTGGGAAAAGAAAGTAAATCTAGGGCCCTGTGAGGTACTTTGCGGTGACCCAGAACGTGAAATCTCCAACCCGTAACGCCTCCCTGGGGGTATCTCAAAGCCGATAGGACTGTAAAGGGGTATTACTGTTGTTTTCTTCTTCTCGTCTGCTTCCATATAAGCTTTCATACCACCTCAATTCTTACCCGTCTGCAGACACCACTACGTGTACGTGCACTGCGAAGAAAAAAAAATTGCTAGAGTTTGAGGATTGCAATTTTTTTGTTTTCTACAATTTTTATAAAAAAGCCAAAGTAGAGTATTTTTTTCTGACGGTTGTACGATACAATATAAATGCAAGAGACAAAAATTTCGCTCTTCCAATTGTATCGAGTATTTGATGAATATTGAATGGAGAGTTGGAACGGAAATATGATTGTAGCCCACTACCTTTCCCTCTTGGACGATTGTCGTATGGTTGGTTTGTTCTGCAATAGAGACCGTGCGCATAAGGTTGTTGGGATTCAATTACGAAGAGCTTTTCCACGATACCATTGTATGTCCACTTCGATTTGTCTTTCCCATTCTATTCTTCGACCCTGACAATTCTTATATTTCTATTCTCCGTCGAGGCTTTTCCTCTAATACGTTCTTCACGTTTGAAATCGATTCTCTCATATGATTGATTTTTATCCCACTCTCTTATATTTTCAAATTTTCGTTATTCCACCGATGGAAAGAGTAAATCAAATGATGTTTGTTTTGCATATTGTATTCGGAAAGAAATATCATGTGTCTGGTAGAGATTTTTCAATTTCATTCAAAATCACGAACTTGTCTTTTATTTGAACTTTAATTTTATTTTAAATTCTACATTGTTGAGAACTTGGATTAAAGAAAAATCGCCCTCTTTCTCTTCCTGAAAATCAAGATTTAACTGAAATACTCAGAGAAAGTTGAAATTCTCTGGACTTTATCCTCTTCAATGGAATTAAAGCTCTTATTGAGAAAAAAAAACGAAATAGAGGCGAATTTTGATGAAGGCAGTGTGCAGTGAAACACCACCAAAGTGATTTAAGCTGATATTAAAGTTGAATAGTGCAAAGGGGAAATGTGGTTTGTAGAATTTTTGCGTCAATTTCCGCAAGACGATTGAGGTCTTGTATTGATGTCAGGTTGTACCTGGCCGTTGACACGCGATATATAGCTCGGAATCCTTCTGCACCATCGATCGCCACAAGCCCATGCACACCGTAGTTGGATAAACGCTGTATCCGGTGTGTGAGTGGATATATTCAGTTGAATTCCCCGAAGAATTTGACTACTGAAGTATAGAGAATGGGTATAGAGGAGCTGAGGAAACTGAGAAACCCTATGAACACGTGAAGTGTGAACTGGTTGTCGTCCGTCGGTGGTGTTCCCGCAAGTGGGAATACATAATAGATATGGTGGAACAAGGAGGGAAAGGAGATGGAGAGAGAGTGAGCCGTGATCATACATTCGTGAAATCATAACGATCTGTAGGACCTGCGGCGTTCGACGTTGCTCTTGGGCAAGTCCCCCGTGTAATTAAGCTGTTTGTATTGTATGGAAGCCTCGGCCCAACAACTAGAGCCCCATTCTTCCTCTCTCCCTTGCTCGCCTTAGCGCGTATCCTGCGGCTCTAAATGGTCTCTCGTATTATTCGAAGACCAGCCCAGCCAAATAATGGGGTGGCTCATGCCGACCTTCTCCACCCATTGCCAACACCTCGTTTAATTCCTATTAAATACGTGTGCACATGCCAACAAAACCACCACTTCAACAAAAATTATCATCCCCTTGCTGGTTCAATTATGGATTCAACGAATACATATCAATGGCTCAGCACGAGAGCGCAGAGTACGAGATCGTTTATGAATCTACTAAGTTTTCTCTTTAAATTCCGAATTCTCGTCTCGTTCCGTCTGGTTCGCACCCCTAACTCACACCGAGTTGTTTCAATTCAGTTCAATCAAGCAACTATTGTGGTGGTGGTGGTGGTGGTGGTGGTAGTGGTGCTCTCAACTTGAGGAGAGAAACTGTTGTCTCGATTTTTTAATATACTGCTAGGAGACATTCGAGTTGGCTTTCATATTTTTCGCATGAGATGATGCAATTTAGAGAGATTAGTGGTAATTGAGATGATGATAGCGTCGACAAAATTGAGAGGAAGATGGTGAAGGTGAAATGAAATAGGCTATATAGCTATTTGACGTGTAGTATAGGTCGTTGAGGCGCGAATTGTTCGGACACTGCAATCGTTGCTGTAGAGTTGCCAAGGATTAGTGATTAATGTATAGAGCCGCCACTAGTTCAGTAGCAATGTAACTGGCCATTTAGGTTGGGCGCGGTGGTTAACTTTGTGGCATTGCTGATGGGCTACCAGTTTCAATGAATGCAGCTGACCAACGTAATGCCCATTGGTTTCGATATAACTCCACCTCGAATACTTATGTAAAATCAAACAAATATTTTAAATTCCCCTTGAGAGTTGTCATCAAATATTCCATATATTTGATAAGAGATTTTTCTATTCCTTGTCGATCAATCACGTGAATTGAATTGAATTTTACTCACCACAAGTGGGCCAATGAATTTTCCGAAAATTTGCCGATGCGGATTGCAAGTTAGAGCAGCTATTCACTTCATTACTTTTACGATATCGTAAATTGATAATTAGGTTAGCCTGGGAAAATTGATTTTGTTGGTGGGATGCTCAGGCCACTCTGATTCTTGGATGGTCTGGCCTGTTTCCTAAATGGGCGACCCCACTCCCGGTGTAAGGGCTAACGGACAAGAGAGTACCTTCTGCCAGTGAATCAATGGTGATTTAATTAAAGATTATACTCCAACGAGAATTAAGATTAACCGAGCAAAAGGAAGCCAAGGGCTTTCAATATAAAATAGCCTATGGGGCATTTTTTATCATAATTACATCTGCTACGGGGCGGAATGATTGTTCGCCTATTTCATCATGCTCCGTCAAGTAGAAAAGAAGGAATAATCTCCTTAAATAATAATCGAATAAACCACGGGAATATCAGAGAGACTATAAGACTCTCCTATTTTGTGGTTTGTCTCTTGTTATTCCAGCTACGATTTTACCAGTTTTCCAACCAATGTATCTCCATTAGACCGCCAAATCGGAAAAGTTTGCTGCACACCGGGCTTTGCAGGCGAGCGCGAGAGAGAATAAAAGCCCAAGCCCGAGATTAGAGTGGAAAGATTGGAGTGAGGTGGGTACACTGGCTCTCTCTCTCTCTCTCTCTTGCTTGCATTGTGCCGAGAGAAGCAGATGAAAAAAAGATGAAGAAAACCCGGGCAAAAAAAAAATCATGAGGAAACAGGAAAACTCGCACAATTACATTATGCTAAAGATATAATTACATTTACTTACACATGTATTAAACGTTGCGAATTTATGAAAAACTATTTTTCTCTTAACGGTTATGAGAGATGGAATTGTTATTTAATATCAGGAAAAAAAATGTGTTATTCATTTATTCGGCGCATTACTCACATCTCAAATCAATTCCAAATCAATCATGGCAACTTGGTGAAATCACGCTCAAGTCCCGTGAAATCCATCGAAGTTAATGGAGACAAAAGCCGAAATACTCTTTTACAATTCTTTTTTTTTTTCACTCTTTGCAAAGAGGATTAAGGCGACTTAGCCCTGGGCTGAGTTTTCGACGAATATTTACGAATCTGAGGGAGATAATGAAATTTTTGTAATTATCTTTTTTTTAGAGTGGATTGAGGACTACAAAAAAGAGCATAACAAAATTTTCATTATCTCCCTGAGATTCGTAAATATTCATTGAAAATGGGTCAACGGTGGAAAATCGACTTGAACCCTAGAAAATGGCGTGACACGCCACTAAAAATAATCGATATAATTTTATCCCAAAAATCACATGAAATCAAGATGATTTGAAAATGATGAATGGATAATGGAGTGGCCTCGTTTCTGGCCTCGCCTCTATCTAATCGCAAATCCACCTAAAATGCACTAACGAGTGAATAGAAACAGCGATATCCATTGATTTTAAAATTTCTTTGAAGCATCTCCTCAATCCCCGAGGACGCTATTAATATTCAATATTTTTTTAATACCTGATGTGACATGGGCTAAGAGGGCGAAGAGATGTTGAGAGCACGTGCCACTGTCGAAGGTCGAGTGGTGTGTGATCAGGGGCCGTCACAAGAGAGTTCGACCGAGCGTACTTTGCACTACTTGGCTCATCCGACACCCAAACGCTCCTCATCCTATCCATTCTCTTTTTCATTCTTTTACCCCATTCCCCTTCAAAGTTGTTAGTTTCTTTACCAAAGTGTATTCTCCATTGGCCCCCCTCCTGACTGGAGCAACTTGCGCGAATATAGGGAATCGCGTTCACCAACTCACGAAGCAATAAGACGACGGGTGGCACCTGCTTCCAAGTGTTATGAGAACTCTCTTGGTTGTGCCACTGTCTAACTCGTACTCGTCTATATGTGTACTAATGCCCAAGAGACGGGGCATACGGGGTATACCTTTAGCGGCTGACATTTTTTTTTCCCTTTGGTTTTTATCCAAGTGTTCGAGGGACACTCGTGCAATGCCACACTTGCCACTGGAACTTCCATTACCACCCCCTTATATTCTGCCACCCCCTCATTCCCCCTCATTCACCTCATCCCCCTCATTCCCCTCATCCCCTCACATCCTCCAATTCTCCAATTCTCTCATTCCTTGAGGCTGTGTAGATGAGGATGGGCATCTGTTCACAGATGTCGCTTGGGGAGAAATTCTGGCTTCTTGCCGACACACCCCGTTTCTCTTGGTGGTATTGGACAGGTATACCAGTCCTAACAGAAGGTAGAAAACATTCTCACAGGGTGAAACGGCATCGCACCATGTCCACAGTGATTTTATCTCTAATTCAATTCAATTATCTTTTTTGCCTGACACAGCCAACTTTGAACAATTTATCTGGTTGAAGTTGGATTATATTGAACAGACCATACCCCCCCAGCTCACTCACCAAAATTTATCACCAATACCAAATTCACCATTATTTTTTATATTTTGCTTTAAAAAATTTTAATCCATTCAAATTTATCCCCGTTTTTGTAATTAATAGCTGGGAATATTTCGCCAATGCTTTGAAGTTACCTAACTAGAAAAGGATGTTTAATTTTCAATTCCGCCATTTATTTGATTGAAAAATCATTTCCAATAACGGGATCTAGGAATTAATACCAATGAATAAACGTTATAGTTATTTCTTTGAGTTATCTATGATTTTCTTATGATTTATCTATATTTTTGTTACAGGGATCCCGCGAACATTTTTGGCTAGGCCTTTCCGAGGAGGTTGGTTCGTTTGTTTGGTTTAAAGAAAAAAAAAAAAATAGGATATATAGCCTGTAGCATTTTTTCTCTATCAACCTCTCTATCTATCTTTCAATATTATTTTCTTATCAATTCACACGCTGTCTGTACAACTTAAATTATTATCTTGACAATTCACTAATCATTCACCAAATGCTAACTGCAACCGAATGAAATATCATTTGTGGACTAACACAGTATTGAATAACTAACTGAATAATGAATGAGTCTCCTAGATTTCAATTAACTAACTTCCATCGTCACATTACTTTTAATTAATTATCTTAATGTGCATACCCCATTTGCTAGATAAAATGCAATATTGATCACGTTAATTAGAATTGCAATTAATTCATTTTATATACATGTCAGAGATAAAGAAGTACCAATTTTCAGGGCTTTACAGGGTGGAGAGTAACGAAGATGAGTGATTTTTAGTGAATGATTGTTTGAACGTGAATCCCTGAAAATGAAATCTCTTCTTCTCAGTGGTAATAGATATGGCGAATAAATTGATAAGGGAGTGGAGGAAAAAGGCTTGAATCGGTGGGATTTGATAAATTTGAAGAGTGACTCTTGTAGAGGATTGAGAGTATATGTATCCAGGCATCAAGAGTTGCCGTGACATCCACCCCATCGCGACTATCGTTTCCCTTGGGATGCTCAACAGATATAGTCTACCTGTCGATATAATCTCATCGTAAAGAATGTGACATAGGCGCGATGAGGGTGTGGAAATTGAGTGTCAGAAATATCATAGGTTGCCTCCGCCCTCGAAAGGTCTTTATGATTTTCATATAATTCACCCTTCATACGAATGGTAATAAGAAAGGAAAATCACATTCTACATTTAGCTTTGATATGAAGGCTATTACGATGGGTCGGGCTGGGGCTCTACTGAGACTCGGGATCGGGATGGCACGTATAAAGAATCGTATGACGGGTGAAAATGAAAATGACGAATTTTTCAATAGTCTGAAAATTCACTTGATTGAATGAAGGTAGGTAGGTATGAAGCTTTTGGTTGATGCAGGAAAAAGGGAGCTGTCAGCCGCCTAACAGTTACGGCCAGAATAATGGAGCGTTGCATAATATTAAACGTCGTCAAATAACCCTGGGGCGTCAGTATTAATTGTCGAGTTGGCTTTATGATTCAAGATGAGGCGGGTGGGCGCACACAACTAGAATAGGGGGTGGCCTATTCTCCCAGCACTTTTCACTTCATCCCATCAAGTCCACGAGTCCTCTTCTTATATAATTTTCAGCCTCTGCCAAAATTAATCCATCCTCAGTGCTATGTGAGGATTCACGTTGATTCTCTAAACGAGGGGAAAATTTAAACGAAAAATTACCATAACGTTTGTGAATCAACGTCAAATGAACATTATCTTTTTATCTCCTCTTTTTTCATAAATTGCGTTATCAAACGCATATGGCAAAAAATGTGTTCGTCTTTTAAATTTATTTTTTATTTATTTTTTATATATATATATATTTTTTTTTCGTGCAGTGCCATTTTTTCATGGGGTTACCTCGAGGGTGGTACGCGCACAGACGAATTTGATGTAACGTCAGAGGAAGAAAAAATTAGAGCAAGATATATTGCATTGGGTGGATATGCGAGAGACATAAAAAGAAAATGAGATGGAGGAATGACCTGGATGAGAAAGGCAGATTTATTCATTCGTGAGGAACAAAATTTCACGCGCAACACCTGCGTCCCTCACCCTGTCAGTTGGAATAGTAAGTCCCTCACAATTCTCCCCTCACGGGTTTTTCCGTGTTGCCCTTGGGTGGAGTGATCCCGTAGTATACGCGCGACTGAACGTTTAGCCTCTGGCGATCCTCTCTCTGAGTTCGGCTAGTTGCCCATTCCAACGTTGGGACACCAACTTTCTCGATGAAAACTGCATTATCCGAGTTCGCGTAACTGTCCAACTCGACGTTAAACCTCATACACATATATACCACCCTATATAATACCCATAACTGTCCGCGTTGTCTCGAGCCATGTAATATAATGTGTGTATCTCTTGCTGTAGCCACTCTCTGCCTGCCCCCATTTTTTTTTTCATTTAAAAAATCACCAACAATGTTTTCATCGGAAATCTCCATTCGAATAATTTTTGTCAATTTCCTAGTTAATGCTACTGTCTCTCTCTCTCTGTCAGTCCGATCGGTTTTTAATCAACACCTACACAAAAATCCCCGGATATTTTTTACTGCCAAGCAAATTTCATTCACTTCCGCTGAAACTCATAATCATCGGTATCGATTTAAGGTCCAAACGTTATAAAACCGATAACGCGATTAAATTCTCGCTGCCAACGGTTTTTTCTGATTTCTCTCTAGAAGCCTCGTTTTTATTTTCAAATTACTCGATACTCAATGAAAAATAAAAAAGTTTTACTTACGTATCACTTATTCACCCTTTCGGTACTGAATTATCTGAGTCGTCTAATTTTACAATGATCTAAAAGGAGAACAGTCTTGATACTTTTATAATTCATAAGGCCGGATAAATTTGGTAGAATGAAAATTTTCCGTTTGCCTTTCTCTTCAAAAAATTTCGGAAAATTCTTGATGTAAAAATCACGTTTCCATCAGCTTGCCTCCAATTCACCATGAAAAAGTGCAATTTCTCTCATTAATCGAGCACTCAGAGGATCGTAAAATATTGAGAAGTACTCCATCTGTCGTTGATGTCTGATTATTCGAAAGAGATTGCTGAAATCCGACAATTTATTCCCAGTGCCCCCCTCTCCCCCCCCCAGCAATTTTATGAATAATAGAAATTTTGTTATCGAAGTCGCTGTGATATTTGTAGTATATCACTTGACTCCCCGAGTATCTCAAAGAAACTCAGACATAAATATTTGATGAACGATCCACAGAGAAGTGCAAAGCCATCTGTATTTTATTAGCACTAGGTCAATAAAAATTGTACAGATTATCTCCATTGCGTCGCTTTAACAACAGATAGGAAATTTTTGTTGACATTTCCAGTGAGTTTCGTGCTGCATGAACGTATACGTGATTCCATTTGCAATACCCAACCCACGATGATTCGCGTTTGAACTCGAGTCTTATCCATCAACTTGAATTGCTCATCACAATTTACAATCTCCATAATTATCTACATATACACGAGTATACCACAACCAATAGATTGTGGAAACAATTGGAAACTTTTTCACTACCAAATGCAACCTTGCATTGATGAATCGGAAATGATAAAAATGGAAAATAAAATTTTTCCCGCTACAATTTTTAAATCGCACACCAGAGTATTATGAAAAAGTGGGTGTACTACGGGGAAGGATGGGAGGAGAGGGAGAAGAGGGAGAAGAGGGAGGAGAGGGAGGAGAGAGAGTACCATAGCAAAAAGTGCGCTCTCTATCTTACTCCGGAAATGAGAACGAAAGGTAGGAAATAGCATCATAAAATTGAACGCCTCTCTGGGAATAAGGAGAGGAAAAAAAAAATGTGAGAAAGGAGAGTGAAGAGAAAGAGATTGTGGAGTGAAATGGTAAAAAAATTCCGCAGGGGATGGTAAGACAGGACAGACCCCAACATCATAGAGGACATCTTCACATGTTCTCGTCATGTCGGCCATTCTCGCCCAGCAAGTGGTACTTCATTGAAACTTTAACAATTTCTTGCTGTTTAATAACTGGGATTTATTGGAAGGGGGATCTATATTGGTATTGTTTGCCGTGGTAAAATCAATTATCGGTGGAGTACTGAGCACCGTGGTTTATTGTATTTTCCATGCACCGATATATGATGTCCGTAAGCCTGGAAGTCGATAAGTGCCTTGTGTCGATAGGTACACAGTTGATGGATCACTGGACAGTGAATATTGTCACCAAACTCAATATAACATACAGTTTTTAAAATTCATGATTATTTGTGTCCTCCACCGATAAATCCCCAGAAATATGACCCGGGGATGGCTGGAATACTCCACACTTCATGTCATCTCTTTAATTAGAAAGATCCTTGTGCATCTCTGTATATATGTTTGACCTATCCTATAAAAAGAATATAATTTTTTATTTTGTCATGATCTAACCGAGCTACTACAGGCTTTATTATCCTCATGACCGCATTTCAAATGCCAACCACCGAGAGTCGTCACTCAGAGAGGAATAAGTCTCGAAGAAATCTGTATGTTCTCAATAATTAGAGCTTATTCTGAGACTTGTGTGCTTTAATTAGAATTGTTGAATGTCTGACGCTCAGACAGACCAAGAGTTCAACTTGAGACTTTTGGAAATTTAATTGAGACTTTATAATTCACCTTGACACTTTCGAATGTTTCAAGTTGAGACTTCTGCAAGTCCCGATCTCCCACTTTTACTACTTGAATCGAGATTTTTGTATAAATTTTCGAAAAAATATAATAAATTGAAAACAAAAGGCCACATTATTCTAGAAAGTTTGGCATTTTATTTCAAAGAGTCTCAAGTCAGGGCTTTAAAATCTTGAAATGAAGTTTATTTTTTGTTTGAGAAGGTACAGCTGTAGAGTCAACGAAAAGTTTCTCTGGTCCAAGCTCCGGGCTACCGATATTCTGTGGTTGGTTGGGAAGCCACAGTAAACTTTCCATTTACAAGTGCGATCGGTCTCATCTGTGGGTCGAGTCTTGGTCAACTCTGCTTTATAGTATCACACATGTATATTCCACTTTTATCATAAATATAAATCGATAGAGTATTGCAAACGTTGAAAGTGCAAATGTCAAGGATTTTGCTCCGAGGCGAAGATAGCACCAAAACAAAAATCCAATTAAATGCCAAAGTTTACTGATTTTTATTTGCATCCGCTACAATTGGCAAATATTTATCCAATTCAACGTGCCATTGAGCGTAAGTATTCTGATTTATTTGATTTCCATATTTATTCACCATACAGAACGATGCACGGCGTAAAGCCTTTCGTATCGCCACGCTAAATCAGTTCACGCAAATAATACTATTTCTTTTCTAAATCGTACATATCGCTGTGGAAAAAAAAAATTTATATGTACCGAATATTGAATTACGTGGAGGAGTAAATAATTGTAATGGGTAAATGGATATTTGGGTGGAATAAATTTTTATTTGAGTGTATACATGGCGAATTGCCATCCCTCACGAGTTAACAAGTATTACAGAGAAATGGAGGGAAATAGATCCGATGGATTAGCAGCTCGTGGACGTTGTGCGCAACTGTTGAGGCATTGGGGGAGACAGTGATCCCAGTTGTAAATCGTTTCTCGGTTACGAACCGCGACAGAACCCGCGAACACATTAACCAAAAGTCCCATCCATAGTTACCAGGCGTGTGCCCTCTATCCATTGGGAATTAGAAACTACTAGGGCAAATACTTGCCAACTCGTCGTTTTCCATTTTAACCCGACAAATCTCCCTTGAGAATACAACACTCAAGACACTTTGCCAACAAAAAAAAAATGCCACTTTAATCATACTGAAATTCTTCTTTCAATGTGTAATTGCGGCAATTTATTTGGTTGAATTGAGTGTTGCTTGCTTTTGAATGAGCTTGACAGAAATAATTTTTTTGGGGGTGTAGAGTGAGAAAGATGAAATTGAAAAGCTTGTGTATACGTGAATCCGCAGTATATAGAGAATGGCTGAAGCGCTATCCAATACTATAGTAAATCAATTAGCCTGCATTGTAAATAAATCACCGTTTTACAACTCTACCGAGTCATTTCGAGCGACATTCGTACGAAATTTATCGAGGGTTTCGCGTCCGTTTTTCGATGCCCATACGATTGAAAATGACGCGTGTGCCCCACATCACCTAGGGATTAAACCGATTGTCTAACTCATACCACTTTCTGCAGGTGCATGCACTGTATGCATTTGAAAGCATCTATTTTTGCAAAATAAAGGGGAAAAAAAAATGGAATGAGGAGGAAGAGAGGAATAAGAGGGAAAGGGTAGTGGCACATTATGAGAATATCCGATTGTGGCTGACGAAAATAGCATGAGACGGGCCGGAAGAGTGGTAGAATGATTCATTGATTATTCGAGTAATTTACGTATCAATCACTGTCAAACACGAGATGGAATAGAAAGAGAGAAAGCCACTTGATGGAGGTGAGCCGGGTGTCGTTGATAGAGCTAGGCGCTTCAACAAACGATGGCACATTGTTTTTTAACGAGTCGCACGTCGACGTTCAAACCATTTACCAGTTTCATCTCTCGACATATCATACAAAAGTACAGACAGCAAAGTATTTTCAGTGAATGCATTCACTTAACGTTTAAATCCAGTCTCCAGTTATCAATAGAACCTATAATGTTCATATCTTTATAAAAAATATCTGAGGACTTGACGTGAATGCCAATTTTTATGACACATGTTCAAACTCATACTTCCTTGCAACTCCTCTCAATTCATTCACCACGTCCTTAGCTCCATTCCCTCGCCTGTAATTGATCAATAACAATAATTATGATTTGAGTAAACTAATTTATTAATCCCTAATCATCGTTAACCGTTATTGATGTCACTATAACGATATCCTCGATAAAATAATGTGTTTCTCTCATCCCCATTCCACCCTTCATATTCTGTTGTTCCTCTATCGTCCCTGGCCTGTTCTCTCCATCGTTACGATCGATAGAATATACAGAGATCCATAGGATAACACCTGAGCAAATTTGCATTCGCCTCGTAACTTTTCCCGATAACGCCCGAACGATCGGCCGCGAGAACCAAGCTCGAAAATACTGGGCAAAATCAATTTGCTGGCGCGCAAACGATGCGGTCCCTAGAGTTTTCTCGATAGCGTGAACCCCTCTACTGTTCACGCACTTTGTTTTTTTTTTTTTTTTCAATTTTTTCCACCTCTTTTTTCATCTCTTTTACTCTCCACTCTTCTCTTTCATGCCATTTTTTGTATTTTCCTCTCAATTCAGTTCTTCTTATTTTTTCGTATTCGTCCCTTTCTTTTCCTCTTTTCTCCTCTTCTCGAATCACTATTTGCATATTTTCCGCAGCGTGTAACGCCAGACCCAGAGGCTCATCGGCAATCACGGAAAATAACACGGGAGCAATTTAATTTGCCGAGCCCTGCACGTTCAGCCGATTTTTTTTTTTACCTCTCTCCACGCATTTCTCAAAAGCTCCGACGTTAGCGTCTTTTCATAATCCCCCGGATATTCCATTCTCAAATATCATCCAATCATGATTTAATGAGGGGCAAAGTGTAATTGATGGGCTCTGCGGAGTATTTTTCAGTGATTATTTCAAGTGTTGTTGAATTTAGAATATAGTATAAAAAATGAATGTAATGTAGAAAGTAGTCGAGGAGAATCAAAGTCAGACTGATTGGCGTCTACCCACTTGGATGCTCGCGAAGTAAGGCTCATGCTGGTGCCAGAAGCATTTGCATAAACAGCTGGGACCCAATCTCTATGCTAATCGAGTAGTTCGCGTCCGAAAAGTGCTACTCCATGCGCTCCTGCACTTCTCTACTCTCGGCACTTGCTCTTGGCAAGCTAGACCGCAGCGCTGGCTGAAATCATTGATAAGCACTGACTCTTCACATATTCTCACCAATCAGGACTCTCTACCAGCAAAAAAAAAAATTATTCCCGCTTCTTTTTTTTATTCAAATTCCCCCCCAAGGGAGCAACTCATTGTAATAATCCCGAATATACATATATAGATGTATAC